CGGGAATATAGTTTATGACCCTGAAAGAATAAACAACACCTTCAGAGACTTTTACCAAACGTTGTACTCACCACAGATAAACCCATCAGATAATGAGATCAATGAGTTCCTTGACAGGATAACACTTCCTAAATTATCAGACAGCCAAGTTACAGTCCTGGACTCGCCACTAACCTCAGCGGAGCTCCAGGAAGCCCTTAAATCCATGACGAATAGGAAAGCTCCAGGCCCAGACGGGTTCCCAGCAGAGTTCTACAAAGAATTCTGGATCATTCTGGCTCCAACATTTTTCAGAATGGTGAGGGAAATCGAAGAGAGCGGCAGATTACAGCCAAACATGAACTCAGCCAATATTAGTCTCTTGTTAAAACCAGGCAAAGACCCTGCATTTCCTACCAGCTATCGCCCAATTTCTCTTATTAATGTTGATCTCAAAATAATTTGTAAAGCCCTGGCAAAAAGATTAGAGAAGGTAACCCCCTTCATAATACACCCTGACCAAACTGGTTTCATTAAAGGTAGACAGTCATCCACAAACTCACGTAATTACTTAATTTGATAGATTTCTCTTACAGTAGAAACATAGAAACTAGTATTTTATCTCTAGATGCAGAAACGGCTTTTGATAGAGTTAACTGGAAGTTCTTATTTGCAACTTTACATAAATTTGGCTTTGGGAACTTCTTCATAAACTGGCTACAAACATTATACAGTTCACCAACAGCACGTGTCAGGACGAATGACCAAATATCAGCTAGCTTCTGTCTTCAGAGGGGGACCAGGCAGGGATGCCCACTCTCCCCCTCCCTGTTTGCTATCTTTATCGAACCACTAGCAGCAGCAATTAGGCAAGCAACAAATATTAAAGGGATAGAGTGTAAGAAAATAGAACATAAGATCAGTCTTTATGCAGATGATGTTTAACTTTTTCTCCAGAATTCTCAATCCTCTCTCTCTCATTCAATAGAACTGATAAACTCTTTTTCAAGAGTTTCAGATTACTCTATAAACTGGTTAAAATCCACAGTTCTACCAATTAATTTCTCTTTTGTCAATTTGCTTAATACACAATTGAAGTCAGGGAATATCACATACCTGGGAATTAATGTCTCTCCCAAGCTGGCAGATCTAACCAAATTAAACTACATCCCACTTTTAAAGAAAGTGGAAGTTGATCTTGCAAGATGGAAATCCTTACCGATATCACTCATGGGGAAGGTTGCTACAATTAAAATGATGGTCTTACCCAGAATAAATTACTTATTTTCAATGATCCCAAACAAACCACCAGCTGACTGGTTCAGATCTCTGGACTCTTCAATTACTAAATTCCTTTTGCAGGATAAACCTCCATGAATTAGCTTAAAAATGCTTCAGAAGACCAAAGACAGAGGAGGACTGGATTTACCCAACTTTTATTACTATTTCTTACCCAACAGGCTGCAATATATACCAAGATGGTTGCAAGATAACCCACTAGATCAGTCCTGGTTAGATATAGAACAGACGCTTTGCAATACGATAGAGCTTTCAGACTTACCATTTATTAGCTCAAGCATAAGAAAACAAAAGTATTAGTATCAGTACCTCTGACAGCATGGTGGGAGTATCTAAAAATGACAGAGTCTTCACTAACCCCTTCTTTCCACCGGAGCCGTCAGCAGCACGTTACTGCAGCAGCACGTCATAGCTGCTGATAGGAACCGCTGTGGTCAACAGAACCTTTTCCACCGGAGCCGTCAGCAGCACGAGTCGGCCGCGTCTCAGGAGTAGCATGTCGCGGCCCTTACGCGCTGGTTCTATTTTCTACGCGCTACTCCTCTGAAACGGGTCAAGTTCGACATTTTTGGGTAAGGAAAGACAGGAAATCGGACAAGGAAACGGAGCGAAGCTTCCCTAGATTTTCAGAATAAAGAAACGTACTGCCTTCTGGTTGCTTTACTTTAAAAAAAAGTTACTAACTGTGCGGCCCCGTGAAAAGTTATCACATAGCTAGTGGTCTCCTTTGTTTTTCAGGTCTGTATTGGCGATTATAAAACGGACAGAACATGAAACACAAACCTTTTGGAGCCATGTTGTAGTTTTCTCCTGCTTGTTGTTGTGTTTACCGACGAAGTCACTCATGTGACTTTGTGCTCTGTCGGTGACAGCTGCTCCCCTGCTGCTTCGCATCTCGTGGGAAGGGCCAAGCAGCAGCTTACGCGAGCAAGACGTGCTGCTTTAGTAACGTGCTGCTGACGGCTCCGGTGGAAAGAAGGGGTAATACCATGCAGACGCACACCTATCTGGAATAATCCTGATATTTTGCAAAATAACCAAATGATGAACCTTCCGGACTGTAAAAATAAAGGGATCATATACCTGGATCACATATATGAAGGATTGGACTTCACCCCATTTAATCGAATAGTCTCCCAATTTGGAATGGATAAGAATAGCTTTTTAGAATATCACCAAATTAAATCTGTAGTCAAACAAAAATTTAAGCTCAATAAAATAGAATTACAAATATACCAAGGGTATTAGACTTCAATAATCTCAAACCCCCCAAACTACTGTCTAAAGTATATAAGACACTAGTGTTGTCAAAAAAATCGATGCCTAGATATAAATCGATACCAAAAGTGGTATCTAAATTAGATATTCCATCACTTTGGTATCGATATTATGGACTATTATACACAGCCTTCTTCAAGTACACCGACACGCATGACAGCCAGATGCCGCAAAGCAGCCTCCGCCTCCCAGACAAACAGAAGAAGAAGACGCCGCATGGCTACGTTGCAATTTCCCACGCGAGTTGTCTCCGATCCAAGTTTTGTCTGCCAAATAAATAAAAAACATAAACAGCAAATTTGGGAGCCGCTTCACAGCCCAACTTAATTAGCATACCAAGTCTGACACGTAGTTGTATATTCACGCTTATGTGCTTAAAGGAAACTCCCGTTTATTGCAACCCGGACTTAATTTCTAGCATGCAGTACATTTGTTTACTCACGCTGACAACTTTGGTGCTACTTGGATTCCCCGGGGTATTTACCGTAGATCCATCGGCGAATCGCCGTCAGTGTATATCCATACAACGGGTGCGGACGGGCACCCATGGTGCAGCCTCGAAATAAGACATTATCTGCACCAAAACATCTTCATGTCGAAAGGCTTTGTTAGGAATCATTAACGAGATTCCCGCTGTTCGTTTGGAGCGGGTCTGGGATTTCTAGGTGTAAACAGACTAGCTGCGGCTAATTAAGCGGTGCTTTTAATGACGTCACTGTCGTGCGCCAATCTGTTTTTATTAAGATTACCTTTGTCCTACTGTGGAAAAATTCGTTTTCTCCCTTTATTGACCAACAGGGTTGTTCAAAAGTACAGAACAAAACGTATGGCATTACAGCTTATGACAAAAATGCACCTTAAACAGAGATTAAGCAGCAAAACATCACTCTGCAAATAGTGTATATATAGTGAGACAATTCATGATTTAAAGTGTTAACTTTCGCCAGTTTTTGTATGCACGTTTTAAAAAATGCTGATACTTGAAAGGTTTAAGCACTTTATACACTTAATTCTTAACATTTAATTTTTGCAATATAAATTGAGGAATGTTATTTTTTTGAATAAACGTGCTCAATACATTGGTGTTTTTCAATAGTATTGAAATCAAGTATCGAGTTTTTTTCAAGTATCGAATCGAGTTTGAAATTTTAGTACCGTGACAACCCTATAAGACACTGTCCAAAATAGACGATAGAATTGCAATCCCTATTGAAAAATGGGAGGTCAATCTATCAGTCAGCTTTGACCAGAACTTCTGGTCCCAAACTTGTTTAAAAACTTTTAAAATGATCAGACACCCTAATTTACAATTAATTCAGTACAAAAGTCTACACTGAGTACACTATACAGGTCACTGGATGTTCAAGATGGGGTTTGTGTCGTCTGACACCTGTACACACTGCACAAACAACATTCCTGACACACATTCACGCACTGTGGTCCTGTCCACCTGCCCAGAAATTTTGGGGTAGAGTATGTGAAGATCTGTCAAAGTGTCTGAAATGTCATATCTCAACTTCCCCCTCTCTTTGTTTACTGGGAAACCTGGACGATGCCCCGATTGAAACATCTTTGGTTCACGTGGTTCTGACTGCCATATGCATAGCTAAGAAAACTATCCTCTTGAATTGGAAAAATAAAGAAACTCTCTACATTAACCAGTATAGAAATCTCTTGTTAGATCATATTACACTTGATTTGGCCTCTGCTTCCACTTCAAATCAATCTCTATGGGCTCCTTTGATCAGTTCCATCATATAGCGATAATTGGGAACCATTGATATTGTCCTGCAGGATGATGTGGGTGAGGGGGTGGAGGGTCTGAGTTTGGAGTAGCCGGATGTTCCCTGGAGGTGGGTTCACTGGGGGTGTCTGGGACTGGGGGGCTGTTGCCCCCCTCTGGAGGTGCTTGGGTTGCCTCGGGGGGTGGACTAATGGCGGTTGTGAGTGGGGCCCCTTGGAGGTCTTGGCGGCAGCCATGGGTCACTGCCTGGCAGCTGCATTGCCCCTAGGCGGGTCTGGGTGGGGGCCTGGGGGCTCGGGGTGTGGTGGTGGCCGGCCCCGTGTGGGGATCTGGGCGGGGCCTTGGGGGTCGGGTCCTGACATGTATGCTGCTGGGAAGAAGGCAGGAACATGCAGCAGTGCCTGGCCCGAGTTCAGGGGCCTCAGGTAGACCTTGGCTCCTCTGCTGTCCCATCACAGGGGAGGGGGAGGTCCAGGAGGGGGAGGACCCAACCTTACCTGGATGTCCTATGTCCAGGCCCGGAGTGGCTAATCGGGAGGGTCTGGAGAATTCCCGGTGGGCCGCGCGATGTTTGGGCCGCATGGGCCGGTGCTCTCGTTTTTGTTTTATCATTTTATTTTTATTTTTTGGTGCCGGTGTTCAGTCATGGCACTGAGGCCGCCGGGCTGATCACATACGCTCCTCCCGGCTGTCTCTACCTGCAGGCTGCAGCTCGTTTTTTTTTTCCCCCGTATGCGCCTGTGCGCACCACGTGACCACGCAGTTGATGGAAAGATGGAAAGTAGAAAGAGCAAGGGTGGTGCGGAGAAGGCAAGAATTAAAAAGAGGAAAGCGCTGGAAACAGATGCAGCTAAATGTGCAAAAATGAGCACCTTTTTTTCTCAAACAAGCTTGCGGTCTTTAACTTCAAATGAAGATAAAACGGGTAAGGCAAGTAAAGATGTTAAACTTTACCGGCTGCAAATCACCATTCAAGTTAATTAAGCATAAATAATGAATTATATGGCATCATGACATAACGTTATGTAATATAATTAACAGTATGATGTGACTGATGCCACAAAACTGTCTTGTAGCCCCTCAGAGTCAAACACAAGATCCAGTAGGCCTAATAAGCACCAGGCAGAAACCCACCATTCCAGAGCGGACATGTACAGGTAGGATTACTTATTGAGTCAGTGAACTGAATATTATTAAAATTTATATGATGAAAACTATCCTGGCTCTGAAAGTGTTCTAAAATGCTAGATGATTCAGCATTGATCAGAAAGCGTGTAAAAAAGGAAATTGAATGCTGAATTGTGACAATTTTCACACAGTGTAGTGTCAGAAGAAGAGCCAGGAGCCAGCAGTGAGGGTATTGCTCCTGTTGGGATAGAAGGTGAGCCAACTCATGTGCAAACATCAGTTTCATTATAATAATTTTAATGTCCAAATAATAGTAGTGACCTGATGTATTTTTATTAGTAAATGCACAAAGCCCACAACAAATCGCTATTAGAATGAAAGTAAAATTAAATAAGCCTGCATATTTTGCCATAGAAAATATTTTAATTGGTTACAAAAATGTGTTTTCCATATCAAATGTGCTAAAGCTTTACTAGGGAAACTGGAAAAAGTGTAAGGGAGTGCTGAGTCATTTCATTTTAAAGATTTGAAAATCTCAGAACAGCTGTTTGAACAGAAGCTAGATTGTTATATTGTTAGAGAATGTGTTGTAAAGAACAATGTTGGAGATGTGCACTGATGTTCAAATAAACCTACATTGTAAAGCAACTCTTTCTTGCACTGAATTACAAGGCTTTACCGAGTAGTGTGCTTTTGTAGACTATACATATAAAGTTCTAACATGATTTTAATAATAATTCGTTAAGTGGGCCGGTCTGGGGTCTGAAACTCCAGGGCTGAAAATGTGTCCCACTCCGGCCCTGCCTATGTCTTATATATTCTGGAAGTTGTGCAAATGCAGGGATGGGCGTACATATTCTGCTGGGGTGGGGCTGGGTTGGTGCCCTCGTACTCCGCGAGGCTCTGCAATTCTGCTGCTTTGGGCCCTGGCAAGATGGGCATGGGTCTCCATGCCCTGGGTGGAATTTTGACAACAGAGGTGCCTATTGGGGCCAGTGGGGGAGCTGGCTTCCTGGAGGGCTAAGCCCAACCAGCCATTCCTCCCCATCCCTGCATATTTTTCTCCTCCTGCTCCCTCACATCATCACACAAACATGCACATAGGACCTTGGGGTGTGAATAAGTCAGGCAGTGTGGGTATGGACCCCATTTCCACATTTCTGTGGCAACCCCCAATTTTCTTTGCACCTTAAACACTTCCACCAACGACATTCCACACAAACACACACTTAGGGCCTTGGGAGTGAGCACATTCAACACATTCAGTGCGGTGCCTTGGTCTGCCTGAATGTTCGTGGCTCCCGGGTCAGGGGTTTAAGATTTTTGGCATCTGCCTGATCAATCCCGGTGGCTGTCTGGTGGGGTCTGGGTCCCTGGGCTCTGCTGGGTCCACGACGGGGGTGGTTGCCCCTGGGTCCCAGGGGGTGGGAGGCTGCGGTCGGGCCTGTGGGCTTGCCGCTGATATCTCCCGGGACTCTGCTGGCTGCTGGTTGTGGCCCCCCGAGGCGATCCTCTGTGCCTCTCGAGGGGGGCAGGGGCCTTTCTGGTTGCATTCTCCTTGGGGTTCCTGTGTTCTGGAACAGCGCCTGGATCTCTGGGACTTGGAGCTCCGTCCGTCTCCTACACATCTTTGGGGGGCAGATCTGTGGTCCCTCACACTCTCTATTGGACGCTTTTATAGAGAAACCTTACATAAACAAGTGCATGTACACACACAGGTGCTCACATGGTGCTCTCATAAGTATGGACTTGAGCACGTTCAACACAAGTCTTAAGGCTGTCGTTGCCACTAAATGCACTATGATTTATTATCATGTGATTGTTCAGTTAAACAATGCTGATTGTATATTTCTTCAAGTTGGCGCAGTGATAGCTTGCTCCTGTTGTTTTGTTGTGTGTCCCATTTTTTTCTCTTCTTTGTCTTTCTGCAGGTCTAGAAGCAGACTCTTGTTCATTATTGTTTATTTTTGTGTGTTAAGTAAAAGCCCCATCAGTTGTCACACACACTGATGTGTGTACGAAATTTGTTTTCCGCATTTAACCCATCCCCTGGGGGAGCAATGAGCTGCAAACACAGCTGCACTCGGGAACCATTTGGTGGTTTAACTCCTCAGTCCAACCCCTTATTGCTGAGTGTCAAGCAGGGAGGCATTGGGTCCCATTTTTTTTTCAAAGTCTTTGGTATGACTCGACCAGGAATTGAACCCTGATCTCCCAGTCTCAGGGCGGACACTCTACCGCTAGGCCACTGAGCTGGTTAATTATTAAAACAGGAAATGCAGCTAAAAACAGATATCAGTTAAAAGCTCATGGCAGAAAATGATTTGCATTTTGCAACATATCACAAATGATTTTTTTAATTATCCAACACTCCTCATCAGCTTCCTTGCTTTGTTTCTGTTGCAGTTCCTAGCATGAAACGGCTAAATAAAATGTGCTACCACTTCAGGATCGCTGATCAGCAGTGATTGATTTACCGTCTGTACTTCACCTGAACCAAATATCTGTTCCATATGGATATGAACAGCATAAATGCAGGTACTGCTACTCAAGTGTGTGTGTGTGTGTGTGTGTGTGTGTGTGTGTGTGTGTGTGTGTGTGTGTGTGTGTGTGTGTGTGTGTGTGTGTGTGTGTGTGTGTGTGTGTGTGTGTGTGTGTGTGTGTGTGTGTGTGTGTGGGTGGGTGGGTGGGTGGGTGGGGGTGGGGGCGGGGCTTCCTTCAATGCCTCTCAGCCTATTGAATAAACAAATCACCCTGTTGGACTGATCCATGTCAGAACTAGTGTAGTATCTAATTCCATGCTGTTGTTCTTTTTTAAAACACAGAAACAGTTTTGTTACCTGTTTTCCCGCTACGTTTCGTCTGCGGCTGCAGAGTTCCTCAGGCTGACGCTGATGGTGGCGTCACTTCCTTCTCCGTTTATCCGCGGGCAGCAGAGGACGTTGTCGCCCTCTGCTGCCCGCTCTCCCCTCTCCGACGATGCTGCCCGCGGAAAAACGGAGAAGGAAGTGACGCCACCATCAGCGTCAGCCTGAGGAAGTCTGCAGCCGCAGACAAAACGTAGCGGGAAAACAGGTAACAGAACTGTTTCTGTGTTTTAAAAAAGAACAACAGCATGGAATTAGAAACACGACACAGCAAGAACACACATAAGATAGTGTAGTATCTGCTCAGAGTTACATTAGCGAGGTGTTAAAGCTCTGCTTCCCATGTGTACCATTGTTCTAGCAGTTCCTCTGGGAGTTTGGGATCATCCAGTTGTTCCCAAGAACAATCACTTTAGTGCAAGTGCTGCAGGGCATAATGTAGCCAAGGGGATCCTGGCTACATGGATTCCAGATGTACACTATGCAGAACTGTAGAAGACCACAAGCTAACACACGTGGTAAAATAATAACATGCTTAACCCTCCCACTGTCTTTATGGGTGACCCCACGAGGAAAGTTGACCATTGAGCAGGATTGATGGTTTATCCCTTGAGGTCCACGTGGCAGGGGTGAGGTGATGCTCACTCCTCATCCCTGCCACATGGACCCAAGGGATAAATCATCAATCCTGCTCAATGGTCAACTTTCCTCGTGGGGTCACACCCATTAGGACAGTGGGAGGGTTCAAATAAACTTGAAAACAATTAATAATCATCATGCCATCGGCGCTGTGTCGACACAAATGACAAGAATGCGGTTGAGCGACTCAAAAGTGAAGCAGCTTCAACTAAAAGAGCTGCTGTGTTTCTGTGGTCTCCCTCAGAGCTCCACAAGTGACCAAGGTGACTACATCCTCACATCAGAGCCAGTCCGTGCGTCCCGGCTGCCCCAAGAAACGGGAACAGCCAGCCGCCTGCTGTAAAATGGGAGCAAATGTTCCCGGGCAGGAGACAGGAGAAGCCGGGCACCCGCTCAAGTTTCCAGCCAGCAGCTCCACTAACATGTTTGACCAAGCAAGCAGTTAAATGACACAGCATTTCCCCCCATTCAACCTGCGAGATAAAGTACAGAAATGTAATTATACTTACTGATTAAAAAGAAGCAGAAACTGCTTTGATGATCTGTTAGTGCAGTCAGTAACCACAGCTTGCCCTCTTTGTCCAAATAATTCCATGATTATCTAAACACACACACACACAAGGAGGACACAACTAAAGTTCAAAGAGTCAAAATGGCCGAATATCTATTAACGTGAGGTCCAGGTGGAGAATTTACCCGTAGCTAGCTCCCATTGCTAGCTCTGAAGTCATGTGGCTCTGATGCTCATTAATTATTCAGAATTTTAAGCATTAAATGACACTTAAACAGAAGAGTTACAAAAATTCACCCTCCTCAGAGTTGTCATGAATGATAACTAGATCTATTAAAACTAAACTATTAAACCCAGACTAAAAAAAAAGCTAATAACGTGTGACTGAATGTATCGCAATATATTGTGATATATTGTATCGTCTCCCCTGCATTGTGTTATGTATCGTATTGCCAACATTTCACAAATACACATCCCTATTAACTATGCAATGTGCTAATTATATATTTTACAAATATACAGGACATGTTTATTGGGTTAAATTCTATCTGTAAAAAAGATAGGGGGCCCAAAAATGTTGGTTTTCATAAGGCCCAGAATTTCTGGTGGCACCTCTGATCATACTGCTGTTATGTGTGAATATAGTTACAGTGGTTGTAATTGACTTGTGTTTCTGTTTCCTAAAGCAGCTCAACAGGTGGTGCTGCTTAAAGAAGAAGCTCCTGAAGAACAGAGTTCTGGTGGGAACCAGCATGATGCAGAACATTTCCATATAAAGGAGGAACAGGATGAACTCTGGACTAGTCTGGAGAAAGAGCAGCTCCTTTGTGAGGAGACAGATGTCGCCAGGTTTCCATTCACTACGGTTTTTATAAAGAGTGAAGTTGATGAAGAGAAACATCTTGTCTCACAGCTTCATTACCCAAAAATAGAAAACAGAGATGTTCCAACCAGCAGCGCAGCTGACCAGATGACAGCTGAAACCTGTGGAGAAGCAGAAACTTACACGGACACAGATCTAAATCATCATGATCAGACATACAATTCTTCAGAGACTGAATACAGTGGAGATGATAAAGAGGATGGTGATGTGAATTTGGACCCTGATTTGTCAGACCCTCGGTCTGAAATTCGAGACAGAGACAGTGACTGGAATGAGAGCAGTTCATCTGAAACAAATGTTAAGGCTGTCAACAAACGTTTAAGCTGCCCTGAGTGTGGTAAACAATTTCTCCACAAGAGGTCTCTCCAAAAACATGTTAGAGTGACAAGTCACTCAGCAATAAGGTCTTTGGGCTGTTTGGTTAATAATAAATGCGTTGGAGTGAAGCAAAATGTAGACTTAAAAAGGAAAGTCCAGAGAGAACTAAAATTATTTAGTTGTGATGAATGTGGAAAAATATTTAGTAAAACTGCTTATTTAAAATGTCACAGTAGAGTCCACACAGGACAGAAGCCTTTTGCCTGTGAGATCTGTGGAAAAAGATTTAGCCAAAAGACACATTTGAACACTCACAAGACGGTCCACACAGGACAGAAGGCTTTTGCTTGTGAGCTCTGTGGACAAAAGTTTAGTCATAAGACTTCTTTAAACACTCACATGGTGGTCCACACAGGAAAGAAGACTTTTGCATGTGAGCTCTGTGGAAAAAGATTTCACCGAAACACACTTTTAAACAAACACATGAATGTCCACGCAGGACATAAACCCTTTCCTTGTGAGCTCTGTGGACAAAGATATAGCCATAAAGGATATTTAAAAAGTCATATGAGGGTCCACACAGGTCAGAAGCCTTTTGCTTGTGAGCTCTGTGGACAAAGATTTAGTCAAAAGACACATTTAAACACTCACATAAGGGTCCACACAGGGCAGAAGCCTTTTGTCTGTGAGATCTGTGGACACAGATTTAGTCATAAGACAACTTTAGACGGTCACATAACAGTCCATACGGGACAGAAACCTTTTGCTTGTGAGCTCTGCGGACAAAGATTTAGCCGAAAGATACTTTTAAACAGTCACATGAAAGTCCACACAGGAGAGAAACCTTATACCTGTGAGATCTGTGGACAAAAATTTAGACATAAGATAACTTTAGACGGTCACATAACAGTCCATACAGGACAGAAGCCTTTTACTTGTGAGCTCTGTGGACGAAAATTTAGTCAAAAGACAAATTTAAACAGTCACATGAGGGTCCACACAGGAGAGAAACCTTTTGCCTGTGACCTCTGTGGTCAACGATTTAGTCATAAGACAACTTTAAACATTCACAGGCGTGTCCACACAGGAGAAAGGCCTTTTTCTTGTGCACTCTGTGGACAAAAATTTAGTCAAAATACACATTTAAATCATCACATGAATGTCCACACAGGTCAGAAGCCTTTTGCTTGTGAAGTCTGTGGGAAAAGATTTGGCCGAAAGACACATTTAAACAGTCACGTGAGTGTCCACACAGGACAGAAACCTTTTGTTTGTGAACTCTGTGAGAAAAGATTTCGCCGAAAGTCAAATTTAGACAGTCACATGAAAGTCCACACAGGACGGAATACTTTTGCTTGAGCTCTGTTGACAAAGATTTGGTCAAAAGTCATGTTTAAACAGTCACATGAAAGTCCACACAGGACAGATTACTTTTGCTTGTGAGCTCTGTTGACAATTATTTAACCAAAAGACACATATAAACAGACACATGAGTATCCACAGAGGACACAAAGAGCTCATTTAACTACAAAAGTAACAAAAGGGACCCTTGAAGATTTTACTGTCCCACGAGCCACTTTTTTATCGCTTGAGAGCCAGATAGAGGGGCTTTCCTGCAGCACTACTCAGATGGCTGCTGTACAGTTTGACAACCTATTCCAAAAGCATGGTTTGGTGTTTTACCCCAACTTTTCAGTACCTGCTTTTTTGTGGTTCTTAGCATGCTGATCCAGTCCAAAAAGGTGATGTCAGATAATGTAGGTCACTGATTAGCTAAGGAGGTGGAGTCACTGGTTGCTCCAGAACTTTCTACAAGCTGCGTCTTTACCTGCAGCCTTTTCCAAGTTCAGAGTTGGACAAAAAGCCTGGGTGTTCAACATTACCCTCGCTGTTGTGCTGTGTTGTATATTTGTGTGACATTCAGATCACCTTGCATTGAGTACAGATAACCTCACCCTACTTTTGTGTCAGGAAGAAATCTCCCTGTGTTTGCTGGTGCCACCCACTCCACTCCACTATGGTGGGTGCACCGATTACAGCCGTACCTCAGTTTGAAATGGAAAAACAACCCACGCTGTCTAGAGCTCAGTCATGCCAAGTCAAATGAGGCGTAGACGTATCAAACATGTTTTAGTTGTTTCTCTACTCCAACACACTTGATTCACCTGTTCAGCAGCTCATCAAACTCTACAGAAGCCAGTTAATCACCTGCTGATTAAAATCAGGTGCGTTGCATCAGGGAAACAACTGAAACATGCTGGATACCAGACCTCGGGAAAGCGAGCTATCTACCCCTGCCTTAGGGAGTGAGTCTTAAACCCTGTAAATCAGAAAGATCCTGTCTGCTTACAGATCAGGGTAATGGAAAAGCCACGTCCGTAACATCATTTCAGGGCTCCAGTGTTGTTTTGGTTCTAATCTAAAGGTATTGTCTACATTCCAGCTGGAGTTGTGCTATTGCTTCTTGTTTATTTATAACGACATGGCTTGGTGGAAGATTCTGTCAACCTTTTGAATGAATATTGTCACCTTTAGATGTAGAGAAATGTATCTACTAGAATAGTAATTAGGATAACTTCATTTATAGTTTCACATCCCACTGATGTTTGTTTTATTTTAGCCAATAAGAAGGAATCTGTCAAAAAAGTTGTTTTCCACAGATCATGAAATGGAAATCTTGAGTAAATTTTAATTATATAGCACTCGTCACAGAAAGAGAAATCACAAAGTGCTTCACATAAATCAAAAACAAAATTAAACTAATAAAGTCATAAAATCATAATGATCTTACAAATAGAAATTAATTACAATCAGAACAAATCTATACAAAATATACATGTGATCTTTAATTACGACGTTAATAAAAGTGAAATATTTAGAGGTTTTGGGATAATTTGACTGTTTCTTTTCATGTGTCATGTTGGTCTTAAGTTTATTTCATAATGTCCTTAAAAGATCTTAACTTAATAAAACCTGCAAGAACCTTGTTCTCTCACAATTATGTTTTACATATTAAAATTTACTGGTAAAAATAACAATTCTACTAGTCAGAATGGCATTAATAGCAAGAATTTCATTTTCACAGTTAACCCTCCCACTGTCTTTATGGGTGACCCTGTGAGGAAATTTGACCATTGAGCAGGATTGATGGTTTATCCCTTGAGGTCCACGTGGCAGGGGTGAGGTGGTGCTCACGCATAGCGTCCACCTGTTTGCTTCTCTCCTCGTCATCAGTGTGTAGCCGCTCCCAGGTGTCCTCCAAGCAGGAAATGCGGGTCTCAGCCTCCGTGATCCTCTCTTGCATAGCCACCACCTTTGCATCCAGCTCGGTTGTCGTCTGCTTTATTGTAGAAACATCGCTGGCAACACTTGGGAGTGTGGCACTCATCTTAAAAACTTCAGTGAATAGTTTTGCCAAGTCAGGCGGGGCAGCTGCCTTGCCCCCTTCCTCCTCAGGGCTGCTGCGAGTAGCCACTCGGCTCGAACTTTTAGTCTGCTTCGGTGCAGCCATTACTGGATTATATTCCTTATTTTGCTTCAAATAGGTGACAGCGGCTCTTACTCAAAACATCTGAAGGAGAATGGCAATGAATAGAGGCCTGGACTGTAGAAAAAAAACAATCTAATCAAAAGTTGAAGGGCAGAGGTACTCTAACCAGCTGCCATCTTGTTCGTCGTGCCCATGTGACTCTAGAGGAGCTGATTCTCATTCCAGCTGCTTCACACTCGGCTGCGAACCACTCCAGCGAAAGCTGAAGATAACGTTCTGATGAAGCCAACAGGACCACATCATCTGCAAAAAGCAGAGACCTGATCCTCAGGCCACCAAAATGGATTCCCTCCACACCTTGGCTGCACATAGAAACCCTGTCCATAAAGTTTATGAACAGAATCGGTGACAAAGGGCAGCCTTGGCGGAGTCCAACTCTCACTGGAAACGAGCCCGACTTACTGCAGACAATGTGGACCAAGCTCTGACACCGGTCATACAGGGACCTAACAGCCCGTATCAGAGGGCCTGGCACCCTCTACTCCCGGAGTACCCCCCACAGGGCCCCCCGAGGGATGCGGTCAAATGCCTTCTCCAAATCCACAAAACACCTGTAGACTGGTTGGGCAAATTCCCACGCACCCTCCAGGATCCCCCTAAGGGTATAGAGCTGGTCCAGTGTTCCACGGCCAGGATGAAAACCATATTGCTCCTCCTGAATCTGAGGTTCAACAATCCGACGGAACCTACTCTCCAGAACCCCTGAATAGACCTTACCAGGAAGGCTCAGGAGTGTGATCCCCCTGTAGTTGGAACACACCCTGCAGTCCCCCTTTTTAAATAAGGGGACCACCACCCCGGTCTGCCAGTCCAGTGGAACTGCCCCCAATGTCCATGCGATATTGCAGAGCCACGTCAGTCAACACAGCCCCACAACATCCAGAGCCTTAAGGAACTCCGGGCGGATCTCATCCACCCCTGGAGCCTTGCCACAGAGGAGCTTTTTAACCACCTCAGTGACCTCAGCACCAGAGATTTGAGAGGCCAACCCAAAGTCCCCAGACTCTGCTTCCACACTGGAAGATGTGTCGGTGGGATTGAGGAGGTCTTCGAAGTATTCTGCCCACCGATCCACAACGTCCTGAGTAGAGGTCAGCAGCACACCGTTCCCACCATAGATAGTGCTGGTTGTGCACTGACCCCTGCACTGAGTCACCGGAAGGAGCGCTCTCCAGCACCCCCTCCAAGGTCTCCAAAAAGGGTGGGTAGTCTGAACTGTAGTTTGGTGCATAAGCACAGACCACAGTCAGAACCCATCCCCCCCATATGTAGGCGGAGGGAGGCTACCCTCTCATTCACTGGGGCAAGGGCGTCAGTTTGTTTTCAGAATTGCTGGGGACAATAACCATACACTTGAGTGGGGTTTAAAAATTGCTGGGGACAATAAAGTAGGCTAGCACAGGGGTCGGCAACCCGCGGCTCGGCAACCCGCGGCTCTGGAGCTGCATGCGGCTCTTCCATCCATCTGATGCGGCTCTCTGTGCTTGTAAAATAATGAATGGATATTTAAATAAAATGCTTTATATTTTACTGCATTAATTTTACATCTGTATGTCAATTCTAAATGTAAAGATTGTCTGCGTAAACCTGAACAGTTCCAACCCGGACTTACTGTGAGACCGGGTTGACGCGTCACGCTTGTGCGTAATCATAGGCGCTTCCTGAGCTGACAGGATGTGAGATTCTGGGCTTCTCCTCAGGCTCCTGGATGTGTTGCCACATTGGAGACAGGAACAAGCGCTATTCAGCCAATGTTTCATAATCAGGGAACATTTTCTAAGTGACAAGTCTCGCTTCAGTAGGATGAATCTTCCCACATGCGCTCTGGTTCTGCGACGCGCTCCAAGCCCCTCTCCACATCTTCAGCTCGCTGTGGACCTTATGTAGTGCACGCTGACAGCGAGCTGCGCTGAGCAGTGTCCAGCTCAGATGTTCAGATGGGAATCTTTTCTTGAGTGATTTAGCTACATCTGCGATTTAAGTGAAATAAAATGTCAGTTCGTCTGCATGCGTCGGGGTAATTCTTTCTATTCTTTCTCCGTCTAAATAAACGGTCAAACGGCCAAAACGGGAACTATCCGGTCAACACAAGCCCAGCTTTTAACTGTTCTGTTTTCTTGTGAAAATTGTTGCAAAGAGATAAAATTAAACTTGATTAACACCAGAGCCAGGCGTACTGCGCCGTTATCTGCGTCACTGTAAATGAGGGAAAAACAAATTGATCGGATCCTTTTCTGACCTTCCCCAGTTTAAACTGTTCAGAATACAAATCCAGGCTCTGTCTCGTTAGATTGGTGCAACTACTGAATGAAACTACATTAAACCATGTTGAAAAGAAAAGGATCTGATTAAATCGTTTCCCCCTCATTTACAGTCACGAAGTACAGCTTAATACGCGTGGCTCTGGGGTTAATCAAGTTTAATTGTTTCTCTTTGCAACAATCTTCACAGGAAGGCAAAACAGTTAAATGGCAGGTTACAGATATTTACATTTGACTTTTATTTTGACGGATAAACTCAAGGATGTTGGTTGTTTTGAAAGAATTACCCCGACGCGCACTGATGCACACACAGATGAGCTGCTTTAATCGTTACGCACATCGCGGAGGTAACTAAATCCATCAAGAAATGATTCCCATCAGAACTTCAGAGCTTTATATTGGACACTGTGTTCAGCGCGGCTCGGAGCGCCCACGGTGGACAGTGGGCTGAAGATCTGCAGAGGGGTTCACAGCGCAGCACAGAACCACGGCGCATGCGTTAAGATTTCCTTCCACTGAAGCGGTCTGGAAACCCGGTCTCTCTGAGGGATGTGTCACTTGGAAAAATGTTCTTTTTATGAAATTATGAAACTTTGGCTGAACAGCGCTTGTTCCCGTCTCTAATATGGAGACACATGACGCATCCAGTCTGAGGCAGAATAGCCTCTTCAGCTCAGAAAGCACCTGTAGAGACATTTGATCACGCACAAAGTTCATGTGGAGCACAAGCGGTCGGGCCACGGCAGGTGAAATGTTCCTAATATGAAACTAGTGAAACTGTTTAATTGTAACATTAATATGTTACTGGACACGCTGGTCTGGTTGGTTAGACCATGCAGTGTTTGAAGTGGAAAACACACACACACACACACCAATTAAAATAATGCTGATAGAGTGGACTAGAAGACAGGTGATGGTTTACGTATTTAAATGATGATCAGGCTGCTGTAAAATGTAATCTCCATTCACATCCAGACAGAATTATCCTCTATTCTTTCTCTATTTGCTCTGCTCTTGTCTGGGCTGACGTAGCTGACGGCGCGCCTAACTAGCGGCTGATGCATATTTTACACATTTGGAGAGGTGGGCTGGATGCTTTGCTTTTACTGGAAGATGGTCCACTTAACGCACGGGTGTAGACTACATATTAATGACAAATGAATGAAAATTAAATTGTGAGTTTTTACTTCATATTTTAGAAATAAAAATGATGGGGGAAAACATTTATGACATATTTTTAAACTAAATTTTCTAGCGCAACCTGCCTGCTTCACTTAAGTCACTGCTTATTAAGGTCCGTCCAAAATTACCGTGGGAAATGGGTAATAATGGCTCTTTGATGGGAACAGGTTGCAGACCCCTGGTATAAGATCTGAGCTGGTAAAACAAAAATCCTCATCAGCAGGCTTTTTTGAAAGTGTATGTGTGTGTGTGTGTGTGTGTGTGGGGGGGGGGGGGGGGGGACAGTTGCCAATCACAAATTTTGCCGGGGACATGTCCCCGGCGTCCCCGGTTAAAATGACGCCTATGCACTGGGGTAAACCCCAACGTACAGGCACCAAGATGGGGGGCAACTAAGTATTTGATTAAGTCTTTCATATCGGTGAATTTGAGCCCCTGTGATGCTTCAGATATTTCTCTCTATGGATTTACTCAAGAGTACACACAAAAAACTCAAATACAACTTTAGTTTTTAAATAAATGATTAAATTGGAATTCAGTTTGGTCTCTACATTGTAATCATTGCACATGGGATAGTAGATGGTAGACTTCGGTAACTTTGAAAATCTGGATACGCCCTTCAGTGGGCTAGCGTTGCAAATAAATTTTGTCAGAGTAACCCATCTTCACATTTCTCAATATCAATTGACGTGCTTACATCACAAGTTTGAACGTGAGCCGTGCTTTTGGCGATTGCGCAGTAATGTTTGCTGGTTAGTTTAATGCATTTTGCTGTATTTAATCGTTTCTTAGCTATTGGGGGGAAAAAATCTCCATTATATTTTTATTTTTTTATTGAGGAAATCAGAGGAACACGGTCGAACCAACCACATAAGCTAGTTCTCAAATAGAACTACAACTACCACGACCCCGGAAAACCGGAAACGTAGCTCCCAGTTCAGACGTGTTCATTGAGAAGACTTCCTGCTGGAACATAAACCTGGTGTCGGTTCACTTTTAACTATGTGCCTCGCGGTTATTCATTTTAGGAAGTAGCGCTTTATTTTTCGGCCGTGGGCCACCATGGGGACAGCGTTTGCAGTCCTGCTGGTTTTTGTCGGATGTTGTAGTAATGTGGTGTTTCTGGAGCTGCTGGTGAGGTCAGTGACTCAAACCTAAACTAGGGGCAAGTTTACTGATAAACGCAGCTTTAACGCACTTTTAAACAGATATGATTTATTACAGGAGTGTGAGGTGTGATACTTGTGTTTACTGTAAATTACTCATTAACCCAAAAGTGTACATATACAGTTGTTTCTCAGCTCAACTACATAAACTCTCGAGTCTGGCTTTGATGACACTTACTGGGTTTTAACCTGATCTTGTTATTTATGGGTGTTTGTTTGCTTTGATGATATCATGTTTGTTGATACGACTCATCTCTGAATTGTATCTTCCAGAGAGTTTCCAGGATGTGGCAACATAGTCACCTTTGCACAGTTTGTCTTCATCACTTTAGAAGGTTTCATATTTGAGACAAACTTTGGGAGGAAGAAACCATCAATCGCCATCAGGTGAGAGGAGAAGGATCTCACATGAAGCTCCTGCAGCAGGGAAGAGGGAGAGCTGATGTTAATGCATCTGTTTATTTCTCCAGTAACTATGTTATCATGGTGGCCATGTTCTTCACAGTCAGCGTGATCAACAACTATGCTCTGAATTTTAACATTGCCATGCCATTACACATGATCTTCAGATCAGTAAGTGTTTGTTTCCTGTTTTATATGATTGTTTTTCTCACTCCTGTGGCTGAACTGTGGTCTCCTCCTATCCAAAGGGATCGCTGATCGCCAACATGATCCTGGGAATAATCATCCTGAAAAAGAGGTAGCTCTTCCTCCTCAGCTCATATTAAACTGTGGTAGAGCAGATCCATGCAGATTGATTGCATCTCTCTTTATAACCTCAGGTATTCAGCCAGCAAATATCTGTCTATAGCTCTTGTTTCTGCTGGTATCTTCATCTGCACCATCATGTCTGCCAAACAAGTGGTGAGTGCTCTGCAGGACATGTTCTCTTGTAGTGCAGAGTGATGAAAAAGCTGTTTTAACACACTGGATTTGTTTCAGCGTGACGTGTCCAGCGATGGATCAGTAGAACACGGCTTTTATGCATTTATGCGCTGGCTTATAGGTGAGCGGTGACGTTTTACCCGACTGAAGTTTGCAGACAGCTTTTGTTCATGTGGTTTTGTTTATTCAGGCATTGCTATGTTGACCTTTGCTCTGCTGATGTCTGCGAGGATGGGCATCTTCCAAGAGACGCTCTACAAGAAGTACGGGAAACACTCCAAAGAGGCTCTCTTCTATAACGTGAGCTTTTGCTTCATCTTCAGATACCACAGACCTTTCCTGTTGTCTGTAGTTTTCATGGATTTGCAATTTTTAATGTTTGTTTTTTCAGCACTGCCTCCCCCTGCCCGGCTTCCTGCTTCTCTCCACAGACATCTACCATCACAGCATCCTTTTCAATCAGAGCAGTGAGTTCACACCTAATCTAATTGCTGCTTATTTGTCAGAAAACAAAACATTATTTAACATATAAAATGTCAACATCCTACTTTTTCTGCAGCTCCTGTTCTAATCTCCACGATTGGGGTGACTATGCCGATAATGTGGATCTACCTGCTGATGAATGTCATCACACAGTATCCTTTTACTGTTAGTTCGCTTATGCACTAAAATACTTTTAATACCCAAATCAGATCCTAATAGATTGTTTTTCTTGTTGTCTGAAAGGATCTGTAATCACAACTTGTGCTTCAGATTTATTCTAACTGGGATGTGATGCTGCAAGTAGATCAAGGCTTTGGTTTAAAGCAAAAATCCAGTTTTTTTTCTGACTGCACCATCTAGAGGCAGAACAATGTATTGCACATTTAAGCCTTTCTCCTGACATTCATGAATGTGCACCTCTAGCTGGCTGCGTGTATGTGTGTGTATTAGGGCTGCCATGATCAGTCGACGTCGACAAACAAAATGGCTGACTATTAATTTAATAGTCGACGTGTCGTTTATTTTATAAACTTTTTTTTTTTCGCCTGCTGTGGCACGTTCTGCGGTTGCTTCCTGCCCCTCTGCTCAACGCACATGTAGTAGTCAACATCCGGGTCAGTTGCCGCGTTCAGGTCCGAGGCTCATGCGCAGTAGTGGTCATCCAGCTCAGCCCTGGTGACCAGAGAAGGAAAACATGGCGAGTCGGCGACGTAGCTCAAAAGTTTGGGAGCATTATACAAAGACAAAACTCTGCAAAGTGAAACTCTCCTTTCACGGGAGTCCACTGGCGATGTACGAGCACCTTAAAAGGAAGTACGTTATGGCGGAGATCAAAGAGTTGCCTCGGTAAGTTTACCTCTAGTTAGTTGTTGATATCAACAGAGCTACTTGTATTCATAGGTGTGGCAACACCAGCAGTGGTGGTAGTTTAATTACCTCTAGAACATGTTTGTCACGTATTTTTGCTTTAATTACAAACGCTAATGATTTATTTCGTCTGTTAATAAAAGTGCTCCTCATCAATGGACGAGTTTGTTACGTGCACACCTCAGCAAGCTAGCGTCCTGACCGAGGCCATTGTGAGCATGTGGGCCACGTCCTGTCCATGGTCGGTATCAAGGTTTCAGCAAGATCAAGCAGCTCAACCCAGGTTACCACGACAACCACCTACCAGGCTGATCCCATTTCACCACCGTGATGGAAAAGAAATATGAAACAAGGTGTGTGTGTGTGTGTGTGTGTGTGTGTGTGTGTGTGTGTGTGTGTGTGTGTGTGTGTGTGTGTGTGTGTGTGTGTCTGTGTCTCTGGACACAAATAAAATAAATGTTAGAATATAATACATTTTATTTAAGAAACTAATATTTTTTTAAAGCACAAAACATTTTCTGTGTTAAATCTTAACCTACTTTATTTGATAAAACAGAATTATTAATCTGGTAAATAAACTTGTTTATCTTTACGGTAAAGCAGACCCTCAGAGCTGTCGATGATCCCTGACTGCCGACGTGTGGACCAGCCGTGCTACAGAGGCGTACCTTTGGCTGTCCTGCCATTTCCTGAGTTAAGATTGGAAGATTCAACCTCGCCACCATGCCTCTTGTGAACACAAGTCATTTTTATGTATAATTTTTGGTTTTAGGTGCCTACCTCCGTTTGACTGTAACATTTGTATTAACAGGTTACAAAGTTAATAAAAGTTGTTTGATAAGCTTTATTATTAGATGGAACGAAGCTGATCACTAGTTGAGGTGGCTCGGACATCTAGTCAGGATGCCTCCTGGACGCCTCCCTGGTGAGGTTTTCTGGGCACGTCCAACCGGGAGGAGACCTAAAGGTAGACCCAGGATATGCTGGAGGGACTATTGGGCCATTCCCATCTGTACCGTGTCGGGCTGGGTAGCGTAGGTTGTTTACATATCTGGGTGGCCTGGTATTTTTCCGGGCCAACCAAGGCTCATTCTCAGCCCTCTTCTCGAGGGGGTCTGCTTCAGGCCGACCAGGGCCAACACACCCACTGCTGACAGCAAATTCACACCTTCCATTAGAGCAAGCCTCTGATTGGTGGGTAGAATCAGCCCACATGGGCTTAAGACAAGGATGTGTGGAATCAACCGGGCCAGGCTGGGGCCGACTGGGGCTACCCGGCCCCAGCCTGGCCCGGTACAGATGGGAATGGCCCAAAAGTCTCTCACCTGGCCAGGGAACGCCTTGGGATTTCCCCAGAGGAGCTGGTCCAAGTGGCTGGGGAGAGGGAAGTCTGGGCCTCTCGGCTTAGGCTACTGCCCCGCGACCCGACTCTGGATAAGCGGATGAAAATGGATGGATGGATGAATGAACATAGTTGATTATGCTTCATACTAGCAGCATATTAGAGCATCCTGGTGCAATAAGCAAAACTTCTATTAATGACACCATTAGTCAGCTAATCGCCAGTTTTGTTGACAATTAGTTGACTATTAACATAGTCGTTTGTGGCAGCCCTAATATATGTATATTATGTGTGTATGTATTATAAAATTGTTGCCAACCGCATCAGTCTAGCCACTTCTGCAAATGCTTGTGCATGCTCTTTGGTGGACATGTGGGCGGATGTCTGACGCTGTTGGCTAACACTGGGGGCTCAGTGGGACAGGCTTACTAAAAATCAAATTGAATTATCACCTACATTTTATCACAGTACAGGTTAAGGCTGTCACTGTTGTGGATCACTAAAGAAATCATACGTAATTGCTGAATGAGTGAAAACTGGATTGCTGCTTAAAGTGAAGTTATTCTTATCAAAGCTTCTGAAGTTCAGTTTAGGCTCTCAAATATCGAACTGGTGTAAAGCTAAGTCCAGCTTCCCACAAAGACTGGTGTACAATTCTGATTTGTGTTTATTTAGATAGCTCTGCTGTCCATGATCAATGAGTTGTGTCGATGACTTTAACCATTTCTCCAGATATGTGTGCATCCGCGGGGTTTTCATCCTGACCACAGAGTGCACGTCCCTGACTGTCACCCTGGTGGTGACACTCAGAAAGTTCATCAGCCTCATTTTCTCCATCCTTTACTTCCAAAACCCCTTCACTGCCTGGCACTGGGTGGGCACGGCCGTGGTCTTCGTGGGAACCCTTCTGTACACGGAGGTGTGGAGCAGCGTGCAGGCGGCTCTGCGGGGGTCGCAGGTCAAAGAGACGAAAGCAGAGTGATGAAGCAGAGATCTCAGCAGGATTAGACTGCCTCTTGTTGGACTGCAGTGGGGTTTTTACACAGTTGAGGTCCTAATTGATCCCGTAAACAAACAAACTTTTTTAACTCTCAGACGATTATATTTGACTTTTTCCACAATCAACAGATCCCAATTAAACATCAGAATGATGTGTCCCTGTTTAAAGCTACTGAATGGGCTGTAGCGTTTCGTGGTTTTGAGTACATTTTTGTACAATATTCTTTAAATCCCACAATGCAACCTAATGATGTTATAGAGTAATTTAACTGTGTGGAAATAGCAGATTTGTGAGGCACTTAGCTGATTTTCTGGATTTGAACTGTTCAGACTCAGAAACCCTTACGTTTTAACTTGTTTTTTTTTTTATTTCAACCACAAATGTTCTCCAGACTCCATCTTTGTTTATCACTTGAACCTCAGTAAGCATTAATTCACAGATGGTGCAATTATTAGTCTTCATTTGTCGTGTTTAAGTGTTTTAGACATTTTTCTGGGGAATTGTTCCATGATCATGTAACTGAATATTTGTTTAGGATATTTAAACATTTCACAGCTCTCAGGTGAAGTTGGACCAGTTTCTGTCAACAATAAAACATCACACTCCGTGTCTTCTTATTAAATGTCAACGTTTCTGTCCGTAAACATGAACGTCGTGTCCCACCAGGACACGCTGTCCTCTCTCGGTTCGGTGGGTTTAACACGTCCTGGACCAATCCACGGAGGAGTAGTTCAGCTCCAGCCAATGGCAGCTGCTCTCTTGTTGAGGTGGGAGCGGCTGGCGCAGTCAGCCAGAGGTCCCCCAACTGGTGGAGGAAATCTTGGTGGTGCTGGACGGATCGGGTTTGTCTGCAGCTGCGGAGGGATGGGAGGAAACGCTCCGAGTCGCTTTCCTGAGGAGGATGGAGGGATTACTTTTGTGAAGGGCATCCGGGTGAGCGGAAGCTGCAGGATTCCTCCTTCTCCTCACACAGCCGGTTCAGTTTAAGAAGCTAAACAACAAAATCCAGATTTTTCAGCCAAATAGAACAAATAATGAGATTGGATCATGCAGCTGTAAATCAGACAGAAGACACTAAATAAACGTGAATTAAAGTAAACAAAAAGGAACCAATGACATTTACGTTTAGCTTCTAAAGGAAAGCCAAGCGTTCTTAAATGATACAGCAATGTGTCCTAAAAGGACAATGCTAAATAAAACGGCATAAACTACTATACATGGATGGATTTGGGGGAGGGGGGTCCCGGGTCCCCCCACCTTCTCTTAAGGCGGTTTAGATCCATTTATATTAGGTAATAAAAGCTGAATATGTTTCCTGACCTCAAATTCAAAGCTGTTTAATGTTTTAAAAAATCTGCAAACATTTGGAATCCAAGAATTGCAGTTTTAGATTAATCTTTATAATCTTTAAGTCAGGAACTGAAATATTCCTCTATAAAATAATAGGATAATATTTTGATTTTATCAAGGAGTTTATTAAACAGCCAGTGCTGCAGTCTGTTAAAATCATGTTGAGACTCATGCATTTCAGCATTGTTGGGGTTTAATGTGGAATAAGATGATGTCATCAGCAAATAAATGAACAGAACAGGTTGGAAAAATGTTCTTCCAACGGCATAACGTGATCCCATAGGAAGAATATGTGTCGACATGACTACACATGTGGTACCTGAGATATATGTAAACGTGTGGTATGTTATCCCAATGGCTTCACATGTGAACATTTATAGGTTTAACACTATTACTATGAAAATGTTCCAAATTTACATGGGAATTATAAAATACTTTGATTGGGAGAGAGTTTATTAGTAGAAGGAAAGAGACATGTTCTATTGGTTAAACTTATTTTAATCATGTGGAACCGATGAACACAATAAAATCAAGTAAATCCAAAGAGTTATTTTTTTCAGTGTATGTGCAAAACACATTTTTTTCACATGTAGTGATTTTTTTAATGTTCTATGCTAAATTTCACATGGGCAAAATGTTTTTACATGTGGTTTTTCCCATTTATTTTTACAGGGACAAATCATTAATGAAAATATAAAAGGTCCAAAGGAAGTGCCTTGGGGAATGCCCCTATCAACAGTATTTAAATTTAGAATGAAGTCCCTTAAAGGATACACACTGGCAAAGATGATGAAACAATGAGTGTTATGGCCGGCAGCTGTTTCACAAAGTAACACAAGTAGGAAAGAACTCCTCTTCCAAGCTTTATTTGAACCTGCGTCACATGTAACAGTCTCAGGCATCCATCTGTCACACTTCCTCACTTACTTTCTTCCTCTCCTAGGCTGTCCCCTAGTGGTAGACCCAACAGAGTGAAACCATAGTCACAATGTTAAAGACCTACTGTACATAATTTATTGAAAAGCAAATAGTGACTATATCAAAAGATTTAGTGAAGTCTAAAATAATGTTATCAGAACCAGAAAATATCAAGAGTCAAGAGTTCACAGATTTGAACTCTGAGAAAGAGAAACTGGTGTTGAAAAGTGCTCCAGACTGTCCTGTTCTACGTTCATCCTGCTTCTGGTGTCCAGCAGGGGGCGTTACTAACTCTACTTTGTCTTTTACAGCTGTCAGACAGAGTCATCAACCGGATGAAACATTCCTCAAAGCTCAATCCTCCTCTCACACCAGAACCGCCAACCACTCCACTTCCTGAAGCGCCTGCTGAACACGTGTTACCGCTCCTCACACCTCCTCCTCCATCACCACCATCAGTGGAAGCTGTTTCTCCTGTGAAACTTGCCCTTCCTTCCCCAGTGAAGTTCACCTCCTTTCCTCCAGCCTCATTGGAGTCAGCAGAGCCTCCTCCACTTACAGAGTCCAAAACAGCTCCTTCAGTCTTTACTCCACCTTTGTCCAGATCTTCTCCTCAGGTTGAGTCACCTGCAGTGCCTGACTCTGCTCCTCCACCTCCTGATGTACAGTTAAAAATCCCTCTCCCACCTGAATCCCTCCTTTCACCTCATGTAAAAGCAAAAACCTCCACTATGTCGCGGATGTCAGAACAAATCATTGAAGCTGTTGTCCTCCCACCACTTGTGGAGTCACCTCCATCACCTCCCTGTGAACTCATGACACCTACGTCTGCCGCTTCACCACCTGCACCAGTTGAATCGATAATCCCACCCATCCCTAATGATTCTGCTCCAGCTGAAGCTGCAGCTTTACCTCCAGGATCAGAAACGTCTCTGGTGCCTCCAGCTGAGTCCAAAACGTCACGTCTTCTGGAGCCCGGTGCAGCTCCACACCTTTCTTCAACTTCACCATCCTGTCAGTGTAAAATGCTGTTAGCGATACCCTCCGACAGGCCTGTGAAAGATCCAGCTCCAGCTGAAGAAGAGTCCATCATGACCACATGTTTAGCCCCGGATGAAGGCGATGAAGCTCCAGAGCCACCTGCAGCAGGTGGGTGTGGCTTGTCCTTACGGACACATCAGTGATTATTTTTGTTTTGTTTTTATTGATAACAAAGAAAAATATCTGTAAGAAACAAAGTATGAGGTGATTTATTGTTTTTTTAAAACAGAAAACAGTTTTTTTTCATTTGCAGCCTCGACTCTTAAAATGTTGGAGGAAGACCTCAGACAGAAGATCAGGGCAGATATGCAGAGAAGTTTGGAGGAAGAGATCAACCAGAACCGACAGAATCTGCAGCAGCAGTAAGAATACATAATGCGGGTTGTGACTTGTGGGATTTACTGTTGGACCATGTTTGGCTGTCATTGGTTTGTTCTTGTGAAGGCTAGAGGAGATAAGGGCTCAGGCTGAAGCTGAGGCGAAGGCAGCAGCTCAGGCTTGGGTGGAGGAGCAGGTGAAGAAGACTCTGGAGGAGGAGAAAGCAGCACACACAGAGAAGCTGATAAAGTCCATCAGAAAGGAGAAGATGATCGCAGTGGACGAGAAGCTCATGATCCAGCTTTATGTAAGCAGAAAGAATACATGTGTGGTTTCAGTGTCTATCCAGATCTCCGTCATAAACACAAAGTCCTCCCTCTTCTTATTCTGCTTTTCTCTTTCCCATCCTGTTCCAGTGGATGGAGCTGAAGGTAGGACAGGAGAAACTATGCATTGTTCTTCTTTACTGATTTTATTCTCCTTTAAAGAAGAGTCAAAATCTCTTTGAGTGTTTTATGTGTTTAAAATAAGCACCAGTAATGTTCCTGCAGGCTCACCAGCTGGAGGAGAAGGAGAAAGAGATCAAACAGAAAGGCACTCTCTACAAGGAGCATGTAGCAAAGCTCCAAGCAAAGGTAAGTTCATTTAGTCTGCTGCAGATGCATCTGCACTACTGTTCCACGCAATATGGACCTCGCTGTTTCTTAAAGGTGTTCAACACTCAGTTAATCAACACAATTGCAGTGGTCCCTAGTAGTAATGAATGCCTTGGGGGGAAAAGCCTCAGTGTGCCAGTTTCAGGAGCTAGAAAATTCCCACGTCAGAGCTGAGCTTCAGACGAAGATTTGTAGTCTTATTTCCTGATATTTGTACATCTCACCTCTGATTGGACAACAACGCGACTCTTCCACTGACTCAGTTTGACTTGCAACGTTGATTTTTTTTCTACACAATTAACACAAGCCTGAAGGAGTTGTGCTGTGTGGTGGAGATGCAAATTCTAAAAATGAGCTTCTATAGCCGAGGCGTTCTCTGCTGTTTCCTGCAGCAGCCTTCCCCGTCACAAGCCAAGATGGGTGAGTCCATGAAGGTTATGTGACAGCGTGATGTAAATCTGTCAGGATTTTCAAATTCTAGAGTCTCACCGTCTATTTTCTATAGAAGCTAATACAGAAGATAGGTGTAGGAGACTATTTTCATGTTCAGCCTGCATGAAAAGTGATCAATTATAATAGAAATAAAAATTTAAAAAGGGTTTTTCAGTGAACCACTACTTTAAAATAAATTATATTCTTAATTACGCAACAGATTATTTATTTGTTTTATTATCACCAGATATTATGTCTCTTCATGCAATTATTTCTTTTAAATTTCTGGACTTTTTCAGGTGAAACAATCAGAAAATAAACCAAAGCTAATCTTCATTTCCCCTTCTTTGTTTCAATTTTTCTCCACTGAGGGGCACTTAGACTCAACATCACTTTTAATATTATTATTATTGTTATTATTATTATTACTATTAGTGTGTTTTCCTTCACAGTGTTCAGAGTTTTATGAAGTGTCTGCTAAGAACTTCCAGGAAGGCAAAGAGGAGGCTCAGAAGCGTTTTGCGTGAGTCCTTATTATCATTCTGTGAACAAAGCCATACTGACTGACATAAATGATAACAGGACATGGGAATTAAAGATGTATTTATGTATTTCTTGGCTTCTTTTTCTTTTCCACAGGCGTTTTAACGTTCAGCCCGTGTGTGGAGACTTGCAGGACCAGATACTAAAATGCTACAAGGAAAACCCGGGGAAGACTCTAACCTGCTCAAGAATCGCTTCAGCCTACATGCAGTGTGTCGACAACGCCAAGAAAGTCCAAGTTAATACTTGAACAATGATGAACAAATATGGACTTGAATCAAACAACCAGCAGGAGTCTAATCCATCGTATGTCTCTGAGGTGTGGACGTTTCCTGTAGCCGTGGTTTCACAAACACAGTTCAGCTTTAAAAGGTTGATGAACATCTTACCTGTAGCAGATAGCCTTCTGACTGATCCCAGTTTCACGACCTACCTGCAAAGACAAGTGGAGCTAAAATTGCAACTTAAACTGCTTCTGTCAAAAACTCTGCGCAGTTTATGTGAATTATAAATTTTTTATTTTCCTATTTTCTCCATTCTGGCAGAAATGTTCCTGGTGTAAATTCCCCAGGTTAATTGGAACAACTACAACTAATAAATAAGATAATTTTTATTAATCAACCAGGAAATATGAAGGTTCTGAAAATGTTTATAAAATACCATTTGTATGATCAACTATGAAAATGCTCAAATTCAATGATCTATGTACAAACGTTCCATTTAACCCTACTTTAAATGATCAAAAAAACACTTTGTATAAATCACTGTAACCACCTGTGTTAGCAGAGCACACAAACCAGTTTAAAACATCAACGAGAAGAGAATATAAATCAAAGATTAATTAAATTAATATTTTTGTGTACCTTAAAATCTAGCAAAGCCAACAGTCAATATTTATGAGACAACTATGCAAAAGTGTTTGAGATGTACAAAAAAAGTTCCACGCAGCAATAAAGTTTGAACATGTTTGGAGGAGTTCTTAGTTTAAGAGAATGTGGGTAAATTCAGTCTACATGAGTCTGTTTATAGGGAAAATGTTGTTAAAAGGTTTATTCTGCATCATAAAGCAGTCAAATGAAAAATACAAGATTTTTATGTGTTATTTGGCACATGTATAACTTCACTTGTGAGCTAAATGTTGTTATATTAGAAAAAAACAGAAGTGCAGCTTTACATTGTTTACTAATCACAATCTTCAATAAAAATGAAAAAAAAAAGTTGTTGTTTCCAGGGATGTGAAACCGACTGTGACATCAATGCAAAGCTGAAAAGGCTGAGAGCTTTAAGGTCACCGTGACCCAGCTCCTCAGACTTCCTGCTAAATCAACAGCACTGCAGAGGTCTGATTTATGGTGGAGTGGCAGGCCTGGCCTCACTGAAAAACCATGAAAACTCTAAAACTAGCAGACTTGCACCAAGGCACTGACGGAAACATTTGTATTCATTCTCAGAGTCGTATTTTTGAGGAAAGAAGGAACAAAACTGCTGTCAAATACAGAGACATGAGGTTGGGGTGGTGTCCAGACAAAGTGATTCTGGGCCTTTAAACATGAGTGTGACTAAAAATAAATAAACACAAACCCACCACCATACTGTCATCAGAGGCTGTAGATTTTCCACCCATCTTTTTTCTAAATGAACTTGCTTTATTTGAGTCACATAATTCAGAACAAAATGAATATTAACATTTTTTGCCATTAAATTCCCAAAAATATGTTCTTTGTGCTGAAATGTGTGTGCCAGACTTATTATAATGATCAATATGTTAGAAGTGAAACTATGTTTTTGGTGAAAGTCTTATCAGATTTTATGTTTTCACCTATGGTTTTCACATAGCTCTACTTGATCTAGTTCTATAGTTGCCTCCAGAAAGGTGATGGTTTAGTCTGGCCTCCACTAGGGGGCACTACTAGTTGTAGCAAACCTAAAGTGAAGGTCGAGTAATGCTAATTCTACTGTTTATTACATGTTTCATATGTAAATTCTTAACCTGAGCAGAAATTCAAAACTCAGGATGTAAAAACAATGTAAATGAACAAATAAGTCATCAAAATAAGTCACTTGTTCAGCAGAGTGTAAATATGATACTGAGATGGAAATACACCAGGCGTGGTCGTCTCTGTGCCAAGATAGGAACAGGAATAGTGTCCAGTGTTCTCCATATTTTGTTACCCTTAGTAAAAAATAAATGCATGTGATGTTTATTTGACATAGACACATTGGACAAACCAGATGCAGTGTTTAGTGTGTTAGCACACGTGCTAATTTGCAACACTTGTCCATAGAACCTTTCTAAAAAGTAGAGTACATTTAAATAAAATACAAAGAGATCAACAATAAATCAAACGGAAAACAGATTAAAATTTCTAACAATTTTCAATAAAAAAGAAAAAAAGGCACTTTGAGCAGCAATGTAAGAGTTTAAAACCATTCATGTAGACATTGTTGTTTAGACCTTAACCATTTTTTGAGTTTTTTGTTAAAAAACTTTACTGTCCATTTCTAGTTTTAGGTCAGTAGGTAGAGAGTTCCAAAGTTTGGTCCCCTTTACAGAAAGAGCAGACTGACCAAAAGAATTATTGCACCGCGGGATGAGACAATCACCACAGGTGGAGGCTCGAGTGATCGTTCTACGAGAGCTCTGACATGATGGAGTGAAGTCAATAAGGCTTTGTGTTAGCTCACAAGTTTGGGTTTCATGTGACTGACACTATTTTCTGTCTCCTTTGAGAAGAAAGATGCAGTGGCACCCCAAGAACACCAATAAAAGTTGGCGACCACCTCACTGGTCGCCCCCAGGGAAGACCTCCCCAACTCTAATAAATCTTAGTCATGTTCACACAAGCCATAGAGTAATTTATTTAATCAAGACATAAATGTAAAACCCAATAAATAAATATAGCATCAATAAGTATACACTCACTGGCCAATTCATGGGGTACCAACTGCTCGTTAACACAAATTATTAATCAGCCAGTCACATGATGGCAACTCAATGCATTTAGGCATGTTGACGTGGTCAAGATGATCCGCTGCAGTTCAAACCGAGCTTCGGAATGAGGCAGAAAGGTGATTTAAGTGACTTTGAATGTGGCATGGTTGTTGGTGCCATGAGCTGGTCTGAGTATTTCAGAAACTGCTGATCTTCTGGGATTGTCACACACAACCATCTCTAGGGTTTACAGAGAATGATCTGAAAAAGGGAAAACTTCCAGTGAGCAGCACTTCTGTGGGCGAAAATCCCTTGTTGATGTCAGAGGTCAGCAATGGCCAGACTGGTTAGAGCAGAAGAGCATCTCTGAACGCACAACATTCGAATCCCAAGGCAGATGGGCTACAACAGCAGAAGACCACGCTGGATGCCACTCCTGTCAGCTAAGAACAGGAACCTGAGGCTACAATTCGCACAGGCTCACCAAAAATGGACAATAGAAGATTGGAAAAATGTTGCCTGGTCTGATGAGTCTGAATTTCTGCTGCAACATTCGGATGGTAGGGTCAGAATTTGGCATCAACAACAGGAAAGCATGGATCCATCCTGCCTTGTATCAACAGTTCAGGCTAGTGGTGGTGGTGGAATGATATGGGGAACATTTTCCTGGCACACTTTGGGTCCCTTAGTATTAATTGATTATCGTTGCAATGCCACAGACTACCTGAGTATTGTTGCTGACCTTGTCCATCCCTTTATGACCACAGTGTACCCATCTTCTGATGGCCATGTCCAGCAGGATAATGCACCATGTCATAAAGCTTGAATCATCTCAGACTGGTTTCTTGAACGTGACAATGAGTTCACTGTACTCAAATGGCCTTCACAGTCACCAGATCTCAATCCAATAGAGCACCTTTGGAATGTGGTGGAAGTGGAGATTTGCATCATGGATGTGCAGCCGACAAATCTGCAGCAACTGTGTGAAGCTATCATGTCAGTGTGGACCAAGATCTCTGAGGATTGTTTCCAGTACCTTGTTGAATCTATGCCATGAACGATTAAGGCAGTTCTGAAGGCAAAGGGGGTCCAACCCGATACTAGCAGGGTGTACTCGATAAAGTGGCCAGTATGTGTATTATGGGGTGTCTCTCTCGTTCTCAACAACCTTAGGGGGTGTTAGCTTCCAGTCCATACTCTGCGTAGATGTTTCTGTAAATGTGTCATGTTCTGTGTCCCTTTGGTCTCCACCAGCCCCACCCACCCAGTTCTCCCTCCAGGTTTCCCTCATGTTTCCCTAAAAATATGGTGAAAGTAAAAACAGCCCGTGACTTTTTTTTTTTTTGTAGGATACTCCCCACTTCAACTCACACTCCCATTCAGTAGGTGGCGGAAATGCACCTGAAAGTTGGTTGCCATCCGCCAATTAAACAACAGAAGAAGAAGAACAGTGACACCCCAAGACCCAACTCCAGATAAGCGGCTAAAAATTGATGGATAGATGGAATATTATTTTCTCGTTTTTATGATTTTTTTAATCTTTTTTAAATTTATTAATCTTTGAAAACCATGAAAATGTCATTTAAGAACCACTTGACATCTGTAGAGAATGAAAAACAGTTTTCGATCCAGCTAAAGGAAAAGGGCTAAACCTCTAACAGGTTGATGAAAAACACTCAGAATCATAAAGTTTGGGCAGTCAGTAGTAATTAAGGCTCCAACAGGGAATTTAGGAGTAAAAGATGCTTCACGCGGATGGTTTCCATAACAACAAAACAGAAAACTGAAAGCTAATTGGAGTAATGTGAGATCTTGTTTCATTACTTGTTCATTATGAACCATAGGGCTGGGCAATAAATCGAAAACTTATCGTTATCAAAAGTTCTGACTCCTATAGAGATCATTTTTTCCATGTCAATAAATTTGATAGTTAAAAAAAAAAGATGTGTGTAGGTTGACTACGTTCATGTCCCTTTCACCACCTTGAGTCATGTAAAAATATGACTCAGCATAATACATGTGATAGCCCCATCTAGTGGACAACTTTTGTTTCTGCACATACCTGTAGTTATTGTCCATTTATCGTTATCAAAGTGAGCTCCTCAGTATATCGAGATGTTGATTTTTAGGCCATCCCTTACGAAAAAGAAGTATACTTTAAGTATTTAATTTCAAGTATACTTAAGTGTACAGAAGTTTATTTGCATACTTGTTCTTAAAGTTTACTTAGAAGTACACTCCTTGGGACTAAATTGGGCCGCTAAAAGTATACTTGAAGTATACTACAAGTATACTTCAAAGTAATAATTTAAGTTTATTTGTAGTGTACTTTTGATATAATTGAGTATACTTTTCTCTTTGAAAGTATACTTAAAGTAACCTTACAAGTGTACTTGGAGTGTACTTCAGATATAATTGAGTATACTTTTCTCCTTGAAAGTATACTTATAAGTTTACTTGTAGTGTACTTCTGATATAAATGAGTATACTTTTCTCCTTGGAAGTATACTTAAAAGTAACAATATAAGTTTACTTGTAGTGTACTCCTGATATAGTTGAGTATACTTTTCTCCTTGAAAGTATACTTATAAGTTTACTTGTAGTGTACTTCTGATATAATTGAGTATACTTTTCTCCTTGGAAGTATACTTAAAAGTAACAATATAAGTTTACTTGTAGTGTACTCCTGATATAGTTGAGTATACTTTTCTCCTTGAAAGTATACTTATAAGTTTACTTGTAGTGTACTTCTGAAATAATTGAGTATACTTTTCTCCTTGGAAGTATACTTAAAAGTAACAATATAAGTTTACTTGTAGTGTACTCCTGATATAGTTGAGTATACTTTTCTCATTGAAAGTATACTTAAAAGTAACAGTATAAGTTTACTTCTAATAAAATTGAGTAAACTTTTGCCCTTGAAAGTATACTTAAAAATAAACTTTAAGTAACATTATAAGTTTACTTGTAGTGTACTTCTGAAATAATTGAGTATACTTTTCTCTTTGAATGTATACTTAAAATTATACTTAAAGTAATAATGTATGTTTACTTGTAGTGTACTTCTTATATAATTGAGTATACTTACAGTTTTGAAAGTACACTTTACAGTAAACTTGACGTAATATTCTTTTAGTACATTTAAGTATCTCTATTTTTTCTATAAACACATACTGCAAGTAACATTTAACATCTGCTATTTGCTTACTACCAATACATTTAATTTCCACTATTTACTGATACTTCGTCTTTATGCAGAGAAAAAAAGTAAATAAAATAGCTAAGTCATTTTGTTTAAATTTATTAAACAGAGAGAATTAGAACAGAACAAAAACAGACCTGTTTACCAGGATTAATCAAAGATGAGAACGCAAACTGTTCTGAACATGTTTAACGTGTTAATTCTGTCCATTTTGAAAGACTTTTTAAAAATGCCTTTAAAAAAATCAGTCCATTTTATGGATCCACTTGCTTGGTTGTTGATGCCTTTTTGAAGTTTTCATTGTTGCATTTCTTTCGTATTATTTTTCTTACATCTTGAACACGCAGAGATGGAAACTTCAACTGAGCATGCCCTGTGAACACACAAAGCAAAAAAATGAACACTTGAACTGTTAGGTGAACTCTGACACCACAAAATCTTTACAGTTCATACACT